GTTGGAATACTATTATTATCCACTTTTAATTCTTGGAAATCCCTAAGAGACTAGATAAAGAAGGTTTTGTTTTAATGTAATAGGCCTAATACTAATTTCTTATGACAATTATAAATTTTTATAAGCTAGTTTATGACAATGTTGGGGCCTTAAGTAGTGTTTTATCTCTGAATACACAGGTACTCAACAATGTATTACCAAACATGGGAAATGAATAATCATAACATATAAACTTATAAGGCAAATAAGTACTTAGCCAAAGTAAAAATCTGGTATGTTTGAAATGTTTCAAGAAGCCTAAATTTAAAGTCAAACAACAAATAATTAGGTAACATCATTTATTTTATAAAACAAAACTTTTGGTAGTTGTAACTTTATCTTACAAAGTTTGAAAACAATTATGGAATGATCAAGAATAAAACTAGAAAGTCTATTCAGATAATATAGTATTACTGCATTAACAAGTATCAACAGCATTTAACTTCTTCACAATAGTTATAGTAATGTTCTATAGTTCAATGTTGGCATGCTACCAATTAACTTTTTAAAAGTTAGCTGTGTAACAATGTAACCGAATTTTCAGAATTTTTTACATTAAAGAAGACTTCCACTATATTAATATAGTATTTTGGATTAATCCAATTTGTTCCATAGTTCTAAAGTAAAATCTAAGTACGTAAACGTTAAAATCATATCAATATCATTTGTAAATTAGTGGTTTAGTCAGGTTATAAATATAGTAAGCTTATTTTTGGTAGTGTGGTTGATATGGAAATAAAAACAGTTAAAAACAAACATTTCAAAACCTAAAATTAAAAAGTTACAAATATTTAGTCATATTTAGAAAAACAATTTAAAAAGTCATTACCTATACAGTCATACCGCTTGCACTTTCATTTATTTCAAAGAGACAAAAATCTTTCTCACAAGAATTCTAAATTCTGAACAATGAAAAATAAATTCTGTAAACAATTATGACACTAAAAATTTCTTACCACCAACAATAAAATTGTTTCATAGAGACCTAACAAATTCTTTTATTTGTCATACACTCTGATGTAGACTTCAGTTTTTTCTATTTAAGGCTCATCAGCACAACTTAATTCACCAAACCTGAGATATACAGTAAGGCTTCTTATAATAGTGATGTGTATATACTATTTAGGGTGTTTTTAAGCCCTTTTTACAAAAAAAAACATAAATGATTCTGAAACAAGCCTGAATCATAAGAGCTGCAAGTGTCTTAAACAAAGTTAACTTTGATGAAAACAACTCTATAATATCTAGACACATTGCTTGTGGCTGGAAAGACTAGGCATTAAAATTTTATATGATAATATTTAACTTTCATATCATTGTATTAGTTTAGAAATGACCAATTATTGGTTGAGACCTTAATTAATTTGCTGTAGACTCCAGTTGTGTTTACTTTGCAAAACCTCAAGAAAGATTTTATGGTAATTAATCAGCCAATTATATAAAATGCTGATATCTAATGTTCCATTTTTGATTATTACATGGTAGCGTAAGGATGTTTTAAGTTTCTTTATTAATTCTGAAAAAAAAAGAGGGGAGTTATTCCTCAAAAATATAGGGTGTTCAGAACTCCCAGACCCTCTCCTATAGATCTATGTTATACAAAATTAATACTTATTAATTTTTGAAAAAAATAAATAAAATGGGTGTGAGAGTGGAGGTGAACATTATTGGAACTCTCACCTAGATCTATGCCTGCTTATACAACATTAAAGAATACAGTTATGCAATTATAAACTAGAAACATAACACAATGTAAAAAAACAGTAAATTTATACTTTATTTAACACTTAATAGCTTGAGAGTTGACATTGGGTGGTGCCAGCCAATTTCCTTCCCTCTAGTTAGCAGTTCAAAACTTGTGACAGTAGCAGATAATCTTAGTAGCTGTTCAATAAGAAAGTCACGATGAGCAAGTTTAGTGGCAATGTGATACGAGCTTAAGATCCTCAAATTAAATGTTTAAAAGGTCAATGGCATGTTTCAAATATGCAATAAAACTAATGTTATATTTAATACCATGATCTATGTAAAGTAGTTAAACCTATAATAAATTTACCAAAAAAATAAATAAGTATAAACACTGAATACTGTTCAGTTTAACATGTTTTCAGTCTCTTCAGTGCAAAGATATGCAAATCTTCTGGAGTATTTTTTAATGAAGATTTCTACTAAAATGCAATTAAAAACTAATTAAGTATTGCTCTGTTTATTGCTACATGTCACGTATCTCTAACCCAATAACAATGTAATTTTGATAAGAAAACACGTACTTTAAGTTATATTTCAGAAGAATTCTTCATAAAAATAACTTAAAATGTGGTTTCATGAGGTGGTTATTAAAATTAGAATTGGTGGATAGATTTGCTTGCCTCACAAAAACAATTTTTTCTCGTAACATCTTACTGGTGCAAACAATTATGGGGGTAATTCTTTATTGGCTATTTACTAACATGATGTTATAACATCAGTCAAAGGTTAGTACATTTCATTCATGAAATGTCAGTGAAGACAACTATGAAGAATTTTTTAAAGAATGCAACATTTGCTAGTACATATTGATTTTGTTGCTTATGTAAAATGTGGTGATTTTCTGTATTCTGTGGTAAATATCTTGTCAAAATTCACTCATCAGTTTATCAGAAAATGTATGAAAGTCATTAAATGTGGTAGTTTTTATTGCCTGTTATTCTCCTTTCAAAGCAGTGAACTTATTGTTGCACATGTTCAATGACACACTGAAATATGTAAAAAGTATATCAATTGTGTTATGTGCTATAAAAATATTTTCCCCCAAAAAAATACTACTTCAATAAAATGCATGAACGAATCTAATAAAACTTACATTTATAATAAAAACTTGCAAGTTGATCCATAATTTATGCCCCCCAGTGACTCAGTGGTAAATGTGAGAGCTTATGATGCTAATGTTTTGATACCCGTGGTGGTCGCAACATAGATAGCCCATTGTGTAGCTTTGTTCTTTACAATAAACAAACAATTAATTTACTACACTATATATATATACAAAACAAGAATTACAAATTATGGACTATTTTGTGCTCCGCACTACCGACTATCTTGCAAACAGCATAAACTACTGCTACACTAGTCATTCTTGAGGTCAAACATCTGGGAACTTTGCTCTCCCACAATGCAAAGTCCACATAGCAACCAATGTAAAGGGGCAAAAAAATGGGATGACAAAGGGGAAATTTGTTCATTCTGTACACTTGCACGTGGCCTAGACTCGTATTTGTAACGACTATTTGTGTTTGTGATGAACTTTTGTTATTTCAAACCTGCAAGTATGGTGAAGGATTGTAGCATATTCAATTGCACCAATAACAAGTTGAAAAGGCTGGAACTTTCTTTCTATTTGATACCCAGTCTTCCAGCTCACCTTAATAGTAAGCATAAAGCAAACATTTGTGGGATTCTATTCCTAGCCTAGAATCGTCTTAAGACAATTTGTCGATAAGCATTTTAAAAACTAGTTCTACTTGGTAGTTTACTTTTTAGTGCATGTTTTCCCAAAAAAACAAGCTACTGAAAAGGAGGGAAGAGTGTTGTGGTTGAAATCTATCAACCATGGAAAGCTGTGGGTGCTAAAGTCTGACTATAACTACGCGTGTTCAGCTCATTTTATATCATGTAAATGTTGTCTTCCAATTTTTTTTAATCCAAGGTAATTTTACACATCTGGGTACCGCACACTGGGTTCATTCTGTTGGGTTGTTATTCTACGAGTCAGGGTGCTGGTAGAGACAAGAATCAAGCCCAGTTAATTGTAACTTTATCTTGCTAATGCCTTGGCTGACAACTTCTCCACATATTGATAAAACATTACAATTGATAATTTGACAACCAAACAATAATATATGAATGATAAATGAAGAATATACACAGCAGCTTCAGCAGTGATATATGTATATGGTAAATCTATATAAATTGCATACACACAGCTGTATTCGCTTCTCTATTGTTTGCCCATTTGTCAAGATGGCAATTGTGGTATTAGGCAAAATCATATGGCTGTGACATCACGCCAACCTCATGAATACATTTTAAACAAACTCCACAGGTCATATTGAATTTTCAATTAGATAATGACAAATTTGAGGAAATACAAGGAAACATAGATTTTTAATATTTAATAATAGTACTAATATGTGAAACAGTTTATATCTAATTTACTTCAATAATACATTATAATGCTGATTTATAATCTTAAAGTTTTTGTTTCGAGATAGTCTATGTAGTTGAGATTACACAAATGTATGAGACACTAGACATAAGGTTACACTTTACTTATAATATACATGCAAGAGGCACTTGAAATGATTTCCTTTTTTGTGTTTCAAATTAGAAACACACTATGTAATTTTATATTAAAATATGAGACTTCTAAACTCTTAACAAAAGGTTTAACATTAGGCTTCAGCTATACAGCTAGGGTACTTGAGTTTTGAAAATGAAATAGAATTGTCTATACTAATACTACCACTGAGTACCAGAAAAGTATAACTTGAGTACAAGGCCTATAAGTTACAACTTAAAAGTACAATCTTCGCGACTGTAGTCCTCGTTTAAAATAAATTTAACTTAAGTTGTATTATAAAAACAGTATACAAGACTAAAATCTTTTAAAAAAGAATCAAAGTAAGGCCAAGTAAGCATTCAAATCTTAAAATAGGTTCACTCAGAACAAAAATAGGATTTACTAATAGTAATATTAATTAATGGTACTATTACTATTAGTGAATTAGTCAATTACTGAATGGTGAATTGAATTACAAACTTGACAATGCAACTAATTTTCATTTTGTCTCATCTTTGTCGATAAGAATAAATATACTTTATCCCAATATACTACTTTTCAATTGCAGAAAAAACTGCTCGTTAAATAAATTTTATCTTTTACAAAAAGTTTTAGCTTTAAAACTAATTAATTGTATCTTTACCGTTAACCAATACTTTGTTAGTGCTAGTTCCCAGTGTACATTTACTCAAGCTTAGAGTTACACATAAACGATGAACTAAAGTACCAGTCGTTAGGCTAACCTTGGAAGCTCAACGATAACTCTTGATTCGTCTTGAACTTACGACGATGAAAGTATTCTATTGGTTGAAATATTTATAGTATATATAGACTAACATAGCTATAATAATTATTTGATTCATTTATGACTATTAAAAAAACTAAATTTTATTTTATTTTGTTAAACATTTATACTAATTAACTCTTTTTTATTATAAATTGTAATGAAAGCATGAATGAAAATCTTGATTAAAAAGTTAGATTCTTTCTAACTCTCGAGTGTAATGGCGGTTGCAGGTAAAGAATTTGAATGTTGTAAGCTTGCTAAATATTTTTACATTCTAAATTTCACAATAAAGTAATTAGAATGGTGTAGAAAAATTAGATAGGTTATTTGTTTGAAAGATAAGCTTGCCTTATCTGTTTTTAAACTTACAATATTTTGTAAGTGAGCGTAGATAATTGAGAACCATTTAAAATAAACGATGAATTACTAAAACTAAAAGTTGTTACACTTAAAAGTTACAAGTTACAGTTACTAAGTAAGTGACAAGTTCTTCAATATTTTAAATAATTCTTTATTGACATTAGTGATAGTTATTGCATAAGTAATGTATATTTTTTCATTGATTCCATATTGTATTTATACGTTGAAATATTAAGTTTTGTTCTATAAATAATACTATATCGTAATACTAGTTAAGTTATGCAACAGAACTGTTGGTATACGTATACGGTATAGACTTATGTCAATAGAGTCAGATCTAACTCAAATACTTAGTGTTTATGCTTCTATTGCTAGTTGTTCCTTGATTAAGAACATAAGAAAAAACAAGGTCACAGAAGGTTGTATAACCAATCGAGATCACCCTTTATTAATATTAGGGTTATCAAATTTCCAGTGTGAAAAACTAATAATTTTTTACCCCATTACTGGCATTAGGAGTGAAACTGTAACAGTCCAAAAACAGTTTAAATTACAATAACACACATTTTTATATTTTCTAAATAATTTAATCTTTATTTCACTGTGTTTTCAATCCAACAACAATCAAGATTTTTTAAAAGCGTATAAGATACATAGTTAAAACAAAAATGCTCCTATGTTGTTTTGAGTCTACTCAAAAGAAAAATGTTGCTTCTTTGTTTTGTTTTTTGAAGAAGAGAGAGGGAGCACTGTACCAAGTGATTTATATTTGTCAGATGTCTTTCCAATTAAAATTTAAAAGAACTGTGTATAATGATAAACTGTACTTATCAAACTCACATTGCAGTACAGAGGAACTGGGAAAATTTAATACTTTTACTTTTTTTGATAAGGAAAAAAAATAATGCTAAAATCAGGGAAGTATGGTAATCTTATTCCTTGTGCAAATATAGCACTTCATGTTTACATATACTTATCAATCAGATGTACAACAAAACAAAAAACATTATCAGGTAAGCCATTCCAAAGTTTATAAGTATTTACCCAAAAGAATATATATATATATATTTCTGTTGAAGTCTGAAGAACAAGTCTATGTCTACTCTAGCCTTCGAAATATGACATTTAGTATTATTCATATTCAAGTTTATATTTCCAACTTTTCATTCCACTACTTAGACAAAATGTAAGAGGATCTAACAGTTTTTGACACCTGCAGCGTGTTTCATCTAATCCTGCTGTGCTCAATAGAAAATAAATTCCAATCCAAATTTCTCCTCAAGTTACTGTCTGCACTTTCTCTAATTTATTAATATCCTTTCTGTGTTGAAGAGCCATAACTGCTGTAACATTTCAAGGATATCCAACAAAGCAGAGAAGACTAGATCTGCAAAAACAGGTCTTGAATCTCATATGTTGGTGTTTCAAAATGAGTGTTATGTTTGGGCCACAAAGAGTAAGATAGAACATGCAGATTTACACAAGGAACCAATATTTAATTGATATATTTACAATTTACAAAAACAACATTGTATTATTATTATTATACAATACAGGCAAGTGATCATGTGTTTACATGTGTATAAAAAAATTGTTTGACTAGCAAGAGTGACAAAGACTTCATCAAATAATTTGCTCTTGTTTGTGTGTCTCTCCCCCCCCCCCCATGTAACTTAGTCCCTTAGGTAAAAGGTAATTCAACAAATCTAACTCTCATTAAATAACAATACAGCAGACTTAAATGAAAACCTATGCTCTACTATCTTGTGGAGCAACTTATAAACTATGTGGTCACTCCCAAAGTTAAACAAATACTTAACTAAATTACAGGCACTCATACAAACAAAAATGAAAGTTAATTTTAAAGTTATGATAGAAATTGAGGAGTTCTCAGAGAGTAAAACTACACAAACCTGTTACCAGCAATCAAAAGTGAGAACTTAAGGAGTTTTTGCATTGGATATAATATTATAGAAACACTGCTTAAATTCAACACAAATAACTGTTATTCTACTGAAATTTTTTTTACACATTTACATAGATCTAGTTGAAATCTAGTAAAAATTGTGGTAAATTTTGTGTGAAATCTATGGAAAAAACCTCTGGAAAACCTGCTATCTTAAGCTCTAACATTGCTTTAAGTATGACAGTAACCCCTAGAGTTTCTGACACAAGAAAACAGTGTGTGGTTTCTGTTAGATTAGTTGGCCAATGGGCAGTGAAGATTCTGGATAAATCCATATGTAACTACCGCCTGATTCACTGACAAGAATAATTCCAAAACATGCATACCTTTCCTGACACTAATAGCTATTTCTCGATCTTCATCTTTGCCATCTAATGTTGTGTTCACTTTTTCCAGTCTTCATGTACCCCTCTCAACTGCCCTCGGCAATATCTAACTTGCAAACTTTATGCCGCTCTCACACGCCCTCTATGCAGGTACTGTATGCAGACAATAAAATCACTTTTTCTTGACAAAGCATGGGCATTCAGACTAAAGTTTTGTGATTTAAATTTTCTTAGTTTTCACTTTCTAATAATTGGGAATTCTTTGTTTTGTTATCCAGAGATATATTTCATTGAATTTGTTTTTTTTCTACATATATATTAAAAAAAAAATTGGATATGAATTCCCGTGTAATGGTTTCAAGCACGGAAGCTACTCAGTCTTCGTCTATTCCTCCTTTGTCATCTAGTGGTGCCACTCTCCGTGTAAGCTGTCCATGACCTGTTTCGGAGTGAGATCAAGTCCTTCATGTGTCCTGGGGGTATCTCTCTGGGAGGTGCTGATATGAATTTTCATTCTGAAACAGGATATTCTGGGGAGAAGTTAGACTCCCTGTTTCCTGCTCCTTCTTTCACTAGAGCTTCCTCTCCTGAAGACTCATCTGATCTGCTCCATTTCTGCAGTTAGTTACATGTGTTTGTGAAGTTTTGGAGATGCAACGAGTTGCTTTTGAGTCTACCCCTGCTTTGTTGTCCGATTGTTCTCAAGGGGATTACTTCTCCTGATGTGCATGTAGGGGGGTTTGCAACACAATGACATGATGGTGTCGCTATGCCTTCCCCCCTCATTTATCTGAACACCATGCCCTGGTGTATCATTGTCAGGATGATATATATTTGGACACTCAAAGGTTGGATCTCTGGCGTGCCAGGTATGAACCTATTATCTCTCTTAACAAGTCACAATTTTTGTGGAATCGTTAGACTTTTACTTCTGTTTTAAGATACTTCTTTTCCATTCAACTTTTGTCTGAAGCATATCACCGATCACCTCAACAATTTGAAAATGAACTGGGCCCTTTACTGGTCACTACTATGGCATGTTTGTCATCTTCAGGACTTGCACTGGTGTCATGGTTGGTCTGTTGCAGGGACTTCTTGAATCATATTTTATTTTGAAGGGTATTCACTTACCTTTTTCTGCCCTTCAAGATTTTTATGGGAAGCGTCTTTTCTTCTGCCTTATTTATTTGCTGGAACCCCAGAATCTTTAAAAGCCAGAGTTGATACAAAACGTTTGCAGTCTTCTTTATCATCTTTGGCTGCTTGACTCAATTCTACTTCTGCAGGTTCATCCATTCATGTCTCAAGGCCCCCTCCATCCACACCTCATTCCATTGGTTCTCTTAATTGTTTCCATCCTTGATCTTGGGAGATATTTTGCAGGCCGGTATGTGGACTTCTCCTGACATGTTCATATCTCCCTCCCTTCCTCCCCACTAAGAGCTGGTGACTGGAATGTGGTAAGTTTTGAAAAAGTGATTTTATTGTCTGCATATAGTGCTTATATACAGTACCTGCATAGAGGACGTGTGAGGACCAGCGTAAAGTTTTGCAAATTAGATATTTCCAAGGGCTGTCGAGTGGGGTATATAAAGACTGAAGCAAGCGAACACAATGTTAGATGGCAAAGATGAAGATCGAGAAATAACTATTAGTGTCAGCAGGGGTAAGTATGTTTGGAAATACATTTTCAGTTTAGGAAAATGATAACTTCAGTATGCAAATCAAAAACACATTGTTATTCCTGCAATAGAATCAAACAAAAAGGTGCCTAATCTCCACTTGATCCAATTAGCCTTGGAGGGAAGTTGGAGCTAGAAACTTGCTTCAGCAATGCTATGCACCAACTCTTAGAATTACAGAGAAAAAAAATAATTCAGTAAACTTTAAACTAAAAGGAGTGGAAAGCATGTAGCACAATCTGATACTACACACTCACAGTACTTTAAATAAGGCTGTACTAGAGCTGTAGAAGACAACAATAAATAGCCTTTGTGTTCTTAAATTTCAAAATCTAATGAATAAAACCAAGAGCTCTGCCTTCTTTTTTTCACCACAGGACAACTAAACAAAGTACTTTAGGGTTTTATCAAAAACCACACCAACCTTTCATCATAATATCACTGCTTATTTCACATAAGAAGTAAAAGTTTCTAAGTATTTTTATATTGCAAGATCATATTGTTTCACTTCTAAATACTAAAACACCTTTACATTGCCTGTTTAGTAACACTGCCAAGTTCCTTTTGAATAAGAAAACTATTCTCAATATATTTGGCTTTTCCCACCAATTCATTATTGCCAGTGAATTTTGATATATTATTACTCAGAAAGTTATTGAAATCACTAGCATGAATAATGAATAATAAAGGCCTTAAAACAATAATCCAGGTAAAAATGACACTGGTGATAATATTACTAGTAAATTTGATACTACTAATAAAGTAGAAAAAAGGCACAATTTTTTCCCTAAAAAAATCCTGTGTATATGATTTTTATGTTATAAAATGTTTTTTCTTATCATTACAGTTAGATGATTAGTGGAATTTTCTAATTGATTAACCATAAAGATCATAAA